GGGGGGCGAGGAACACGACTGTGTCATGGTCCTCGCCCACGCCTCGCATTTCCCAACGCTCGCCCGAAAAACGTGAAAAACTGACAACTGTAGCCTGTAGGCAAGTGGTAACCGCACAAAACGCGTTACGCTAGATTTTACTTTTTTTGGCATTACAAGGACCCTCTCACTCCAAGGATAAAATTATTCAATCATAGAATGAAGAATAAGCTTCGAGTTAACCCTTCAACTCCCACAAATATCAATACAATATTAAGCAGACAAGCAAAAGAGAGTAAAGAACAATAACAACTAAGGGATTTCTGGTTGATCCAGTACCAAATTCTCTGAACTTTCATCACAAGAGTTATACAGTAGACAGTAATGAGAATTACTAACGACATCTTGGGAGTTAAAGGGTTAAGACAATAAAGAATCCTATCGAGAAACTACTACCAACATTTATATGATGTTCTCTAGACTGTGAAGAATAACGATTTTTTGCAATTTATATACCTGATAAACTAAGTTAAACTATGAAGCTTGTCAAGCTTTTTTGGCCTTTAACTCTGCCGTTTTTTGAGAAAAAGGTCTATGTGGTCATCAAAAGGTTATAAGGTATTCAGGGTAACACTGATAATCAGAGAAAACAACAAAGATGCTGGGGCTTGATTGGTTATCAACCATAGAATCGTAAAGAATTTCAGGTTTTGATGGATTTTTTGGTGGAGGCGCAACCATTGAACGTTTTCCAATACAATACTCCCCAACGAGGACCTTGGCAAGGTACATGTGGCGCCCTCCATAACCACCATTCCCAGCGAATCTAACAGAGTATTGAGCGTCTCTAGCGAAATAAACACCACGTCCATAGTCCGTGCCTGAAAGAGAAAATATCAAAAAAATAACACATTCGGTAAAGTTATTTGTTATGAAAGAGGCAATTCTATTTTTCCTGAATTATTATAGCTTTTATTACCACTTTCTAGCTCCAAAGAGTGATTCGGCCAGAGCTCATGCAACATCTGGGTGACTTGGTAGGACAGGTAGACAAATATATCAATAGAATTATGGCCAAAACACCATTATTTTAGCCATAAAATTGTTAAGAGTTAGGAGCAATGGCTCGAAAATATTGCTTCAATGCTCCTTTTTCTCACATAAAGCTTTCCAAAGTAATGATCGATCCTAGCAGTATGTGGAACATGTGCCACATATTAACCACGTGAAAACTCTACTCATCGTATAATCTGTAGCTCAATGGTAGAGCGTGGTAGAGCGTTGGGACGAAGGAAATCTAAAGGTCTGAGGTTCAATTCCTCATAAGTACTCGAAGTTTTTCCTTAATCCCGCCCCCTTGACAAGACGATATAAGGTTTCAGTGACTTACCATTAGCCCCACAGAAGCTTCTGTTGAATCCTTGTGTGTTGATATTGTTGACGTTTTTAGCAACAGTCCCATGAAACAGCTGCCTTTCACTATTTCCTCCAGTATCTTTATCCATTTTCTGTTTTCGTACCATGTACGACTGATACAGATGAGGATTCTGTATGCGTTCAATCTTCTGAATATTTAACGCTCCGGCTGTGGCTTGAAACTTACGTACGACATCTTGATACTCAGGGGAGCCTGGGAGCAGTAGTACTCTATGTACAGTAGAGTCGTGGCCGGGCATTGGTGTCCAGTGTTTTGGCAGAGCAATTCCTACAGAAAGGACCACAAGATTAGAATATTGAAGTGAAAACCCATCGACTGAGATTAAATTTCAACATCCAAGTACATTTTTCAGGTAAGACACAGATAAAAGATCAACAAAAAAACTCAGGAGAGGCATTTGAGGGCAACTTTTCTGATAACCCCCTACGTGTACTGTATATTTATTCCCTTAAACATTCTCTGGGAAATAAAATAGCTTTTAGTCCCTTCTCAAGGCTTATCGAAACATCTTCATCAAAAGAAATGCATAGCAACTAACCTTCATCAGCACCCTTCACCTTTCTTGTCAGTGATATTTGTTCACCAGACGTTTGTCCAAGTCCAGAGTTTCTCTTCAAGTCGATGACAAACTTGTCTCCGCGTAGAGAAACTTGCACTGTGTGCTCATCTTTGCTGTGGGCCAACTCAATCTTGGCATTTGCTTTCGGGGAAAACGCTACTTTTGTGCCTTGTATTTCATAGCTCCACTCTACGTTCTTTGAAACCAACTTCGCTTGTTCTTCCTCCTGTTTCTTCTTCATCCTTTTGTTGATCTCTCTCCAGATCTCCCCGACTATTCCAGCAACCTCGGTTGGTCCACCACGAATGATAATGCGATCCACGTCATCCTCAATTTCAAGTTTGACGTCACGGTCTTTAGCTTTCTTTCTCAGCATATTCTTCTGCTTATCGGAAAGCTGACTGATGACGTCACTTTCGACTTTTTCCATTGGACAAGCGTCCGAAAAACCTTTCTTCAAGGAGTCCACGGCTCTTTCCACGCTCACCTTGTCTTTGCCAATCACAGAAATTCTTACAGAATGTTCGTCACTTTGGCCTGGTGCCTGCCTACGTCCGCGTCTTCTGGTTTTCCCAGCTGCTGCATTCTCTGAGTCACTGTCTTCTTCAATATCTTGCACTGGTTTTTTCTGCTCTTGTAGATACTCCTGCATCATAGAGGCCTGGAACACAACTACTCTTACTTTCTGAATGTTTTTACAACGGGCACTGAATGCGTTTAGTGCTTTGAACGTCAGCTGGGCTGAGTCCGCTGTGGTCAAGCCGTATCCTACAGTGCCAACACACGGAATTGAGATCGCTTGAAAGTTATTGGCGTCTGCAACACGAAGACCCTCCTCCAAACATTGCTGGAGATGCTGCTTATCTGAGGAGCCTGGAATGATGTGAATAATATAAGGTACTTGTAAATTACCTCCACTGGTCACTATCGCTGTTCCAGGAGTCTGCTTTCCCAATTGGTTGCATTCTTGTTGCACTAGTGGACCACTCTGTCTTGCTATGGCTTTGCTCAGGTCTCCGGCGTTATCCATCTTTATATCCGTGCTCAGAATATTCACAATAGCATCAGTGCTGTTCTCTTGAGTCAAATCACCATTTACCACCTGGACTGTCAAATGTGAGTTGCCAATTTGCTTGGGTTGCAGTTTTTCCATCTCTTGTTTGAAGGCGGCAGTTAATGCTTGATCTTGGTCAAACACGACAAATCGGATGTCCTGTAAATTAGAACCAGGGTTGGCTCGGCAGAAATTGACTGTTTCTTCCAACATGATTCTCGAGGCTGTGTCGCGAGGGAAGTGTAGATTTCCAGTCCCAATGACAGGAAATGCAATGGACTTGGCTCTAAGTGTTTCACCCGCTTGCAGACACTTTTGAACGATGGCCCTTAGCGTCTACAAACGATAAAACAGAAGTTGTCGAATGTTAGTGGCACGGACGGACAATCTGGTGGCAAGAGGGGATCTAGTAAATCCCTTCATTCCTATGTGATCTCAATAGGAATTCTACGTCTTCTGTACATTTCTTATGAATTTGGAGGTCAAATTTGTCGTCAAGTCATGCAATATCTCATTGGTATTTTTTCCTTCTTCCCGTCACCTTTCTGGTTGACAATGCACTAATAATGAGAGGAGAAAAAACTTACTGGTCACTCCTTAAACTGAAAAGGATGAAAAACTGAATCCCTTTCAAGCTATTTTTAAACTTCCTGGAATCTGTTTTCCGGGGAACAAAGTTATCTCAACCTTGAGTTTTACCAACATTTTCCTCAGGATATTAAGAGGGCGCCATGTAAGATGCTCATACAAGTAGTACTTTCTTTTGGGATCAAGATCGAGGATGGTAGGATTATAACCTCACGGAAATTACCTTTGGAATGGACCTAATTAATTTTTTTTTATTGGTGAAAATTTCACTGCGCAATTTGTTTTTTTCTAGTAGGATGATATTTGAAATTGAAAGTCACTTTGTGCAATAGTCCCGTCGTTTAATATTCGATTGATCATTTTCGATGTATTCGGTGAGGAGTGAGGCTTTCTTAATAAACATGACAGAATGTTTAAAGGTACACTACATCGGAAATAACATCAAAACGAGCCTGAATAGTATTCAGTTAATTTTACCTACAAGAGAATGGATAGGCTGGGCATCCGACATCGCTTAGGCTTTCAGCAAATCTAAACAATAAATACTCGTGATGTATTTTAGAGAGGTCCTCTCCCTCAAAAGTGAACTAATACTTAATTATGTACGTACAATTCACTGTTTCTTACCGGCTCCCCTCCACCGTTGTTCCACGTACAACAGTGACTGTGAATCACGTGACTGACCGAGGAAAAACCGCCTGAGATAGTGATGTCACCAACTTTGGGGGTTGCGGCCTGAGGACCACCGGCATTAATGATTGCTTTATCGCATGCTCCTAGACAACTGACAAGTAGGTCAGCCTGAAATACACAACCAAAAGATAATGTTAATGATTTTATTAACTTCTTCAATATGGTGAACTGTTGTCGTAGTCAGACGTGGCTATCTCAATACAGGAGACGTTAAATGATGTAACCACACTCTATGAGCTCATGAAAGCTAAGTTAAGAACTATAACCATGAATACGCAAACAAGATCTTTTAAGGTATTTCATGAGATATTACCCTGGTTTTAAAAACAATAGTTTCAATCCTACCTTCTCTGCCCCTATATTTCCAGGTTTCCACGACACTCTGTGCCTTTGGGCTATTACCAGGGTAGACGAGTCAGTTCCAGTAGTGGTAGCGTGGTCACCCCCGACATCATCGTCACTGTCGCCTGAAGAAGTAGAAGCGTCGGAAACGGATTCCACGCGCAACTCCTCGTCCCTTCCTCCTCGACCTAAATTTTTCTGGACTTTTATAGCACAATCTTGATCTTTTTCCACCAATTTCACCAGCTGATCTCCTTTTCCTCTTTCAAAGTATTTTCGAAGGCCTGGCTGTTTCACTTCAAAGGTTTTCAACTCAGTGGAATCGATCAGAGCGTCGAGCTTCTTTCCTACACGATCCAAACCCTCTATGTTGCCAGAAATGATAAAATCATCATCGTCATCACCCTTTTTAATGCTCACCACAAAGTCTTTTAGTTGATTTTCTATGGTGTGTAGATCTTCTTGACGTAGCTCGAGAAGATATCTTCGCATGATATCAGACCTGCACCAAAAACGTTCCTCCCTGATGCAATTGTTTTCAAGAAAGGTATTTAACTTCTTTATCACTTCCGTCACGTCATCACGAAACCCAACTACGTGTATATCGTTCCAGTTGTTCCTAAGGACACGGACAGTCGTTTGGTTCATCTCGTCACACAACTTTAGCCATTCAGATGACTTCAAAAAATGCTTGCTTTTCTCGTCCACTTGAATTTTCTCTTCCACCATCAACTTGTTCACGAGCCTGACCGCGTTGTCTGCATTCGCTGCTGATGATCCCACTATGGTGGTGTCTTTCTCAATAACCAACACTGCTTCCACGTTGTTTCTTTCCAACTCACATTTGACAGTCTGAAGCCCTTCATCTGAGACTAAAATCTCTAGGATGCTGTTGGGTAAAGTCAGTTTCTTCTCAACCACATTTGCCATTTGTTTCTCGAACTTCATGGTTGCCTCAATAAGCTGTGGCTGGGGACCTTCGAAATATATTTCTTCATCTTCAGTATTAATTTTGATCTTCAACTCCTTATTCTTTTCTTGGAGTTTCTCGGCAAATTTTATCTTCTTCAGCAAAATTAAGCGCTCCTCGGGAACATTTGGAATTTTCCTCTCTAGGTAAGTTTTTCTGGTCTCCTCGTATATTTCTTCCAACTTTGACTTTACCTTTTCCTCGTTACTTTTCAGAGCTGTTCTTAATGAAACGATCCTAGCAACATTTGAATCAGGAACAATCTTGACCAGCGGGGGATCAACTCCCAAGCAGGTGCGAATGCTGGGAACTTTTGCTACCACGGCTTCCCAGAAATCCTTGTTGACCTGCACATCGCACTTCGCAAACTTGCCGAGGTAATTTTGTACTTGTTCAATGCACTCAGGTTGCCAGGAATGACTGTCATCTTCCCCACGGTACACTATTACAGCTATTTTTTTGTTGGGTTTCCAGGTGATTTCGCTCCTCTTTCCAGCCAGCGAATCGTCCAGCTCAGCTTGGAATCGTGTGGATGTGACGTATTCCATAACATCGGGATCTACAGACATGTGCAGCTGTTGTGCTTTGGCAGAGGGTTTCTGGATCACTCGAGATTCACTGGCCGCGGTTGCAATAGCTCCAAAGTCATCGGGATTCTCGGCTCCATCAATGTCTTCGTCTTCTAAAAACTCTCGGTAAGCTCTAATTGACAGCTGGGTTTGTTTAATCTCATAAGGTTTCTCTTCATGTCTGGTTAACACCCTTTCCATGTCTGTTGATTAAAGCAACTAAGTGTCAGGAATTTCCTTGAGGAAGTTATTTGTCGTTTCACAACACTTCATGACTGTTTTACTTGAGAGACGCCCAGACTTAGGACGATGGGGTTGTTGGGGCATATTAGGTCAATCAATTAAACAATCGATCAATCAACGATCACTAATTTGCCCTTCTCTAAGGCTAATGTCCTGCTCAAGTCTTAAATCGTGAAAACTAATATTTGCTACGTATGTATGAGGATCAGAAGTCGATTTTTCGTCTCTGAAGGAATTACGCTATACTTATATCTTAGAGTTCAATGAGTCACAAACCTTTTGTGTCTTGAAACACAACCACAGCTCGACCACTTTTAGGAACATAGTCAACCTTCTTCACAGGACCCCCATCGTTTCGACGACTCTCAAAGTACAATTCAATGAAATCATGGGTAACGTCTGCAAAGCCAGTGACAAGGATACTTTTGCAAACCGGGACTTGTTCAATGGAAATCTTTGCATCATCCAGACCTCTCAACTCGCATTTAGTCTTTATTTCCCTGAAATCTAAAGAAAACAGATTACATTCTCAACAAATGGTTGTCTTGTGTGATCTCCACTTTTGGAGTCTTCCAGAAAGAAAAAACACCCATTGAATTACATCTACAGTAACCAAATTAATTGATTACTTTGATCTGGGTTATTTTGATAGTTTGGAGAAGAAAGTCGAAATGTCTTAAAAATGGTGAGACACCTTAAATAAGGCATCTTTATTCTTCAGGTGCTAACTGAGCATACAACAATTGCAATCGATGAAAAGTTAATTTCGTATAATTTGAAGGTAAGTTCATTGCTTAAAACTAAGAAGATGAAACTGAGCCGGCGTGAGGTTTCATCCCTGATAAATCGAGAACAGATCAATGAAGTACGATAGAGAAATTCCTGCTTACTCTCCAAATTCAATTGAATGGTACGTACCTTTGATTTCATCAGCCATGGTGACCAAGGCTTTTCCATTCTTCAGCATCTGTACGTCCTTAACCTCTTTCCCAGCACACCTTACCTCGATAAAGTTCACCAGTCCGTCCGCGCAAGTTTTCTCACTCAGCCCTCGAATGAGTATTTTATTTCTTTCAAATTGAGACTGATCAGTAGGCCCCTTTTCCACCACACTGGACGTGCTGTGTGCTCGTCTAATTCCATCTTGATCAGCTTCTCTGTTACCACCATCTCCTTCTTCTTCTTCTTCTTCTTCTTCTTCTTCTTCTTCTTCTTTTTCTTCTTCTTTTTCTTCTTCTTTTTCTTCTTCTTCCTTTTCTTTTTCTTCTTCTTCTTCGTTATCGTCGTCATCTGTGAATGAAAAAGTGAGGGACCAGTCAGTATTTATCAATGGTGGCCTTGAGATACATGTTGTACCTCTCAAAGTCAACTAACACAAAAAGAGAAATACAGGTTATTTACAAGCACCCCAAATTCAGTGAAGGTGATGATACAGGATTTTCTCCCCCCCCCTCCTTCTCCCCCCTCCCCACTGGAAATTTCTCCCTACTATGTGGGTGTTTTTCGCCAGTACCGTACACGATCTCCCTACAGTGAGGGTCCCCCGCTGACTTTCTATCGGAATGCCTCTTTAAACATGTAATAGTTAACAGTCTTGAAATTAGAGAGACGAAAAGAGGTTGTGAGGAGGAAAATCAACGGGAGCCAATCGCTCTGACAAAGGGCTAACGCTCGAAACGTCAGCTTTTTTACCCTTTATGGTGGCTAATTTACGTTTTCAACCCAGTTGTTAACACTAAATTACCTTATTTACAATTCCCTTGACTTTACAGTTTAACAAGAGATGAATTCTATCGCCTGGGTAAAGTCAACAATGATCCGGCTTTTCTTGCTTAAAATTTAGGAATTTGATCTAGAAAATTGTTGTGATCTGAACTAATTAAGCCTTTAACTCTCAGGGAAGGTTGAAGAGCTCTTAAAAGCTAAGTTATTGTTACTAATTATGGAATTAAGCATGATGGAAACAATTAAGCTTGATGTCATGTTGCTTTCAAGGGTGACGCTCAAAAGCATAATGCTCAATATTTTTGGCATAATTTATCTGACCCTGGATTAAAGTAAAGAGCACAACCACTCGTGGGCATTTCATTCCGAGATGAATAGATTGAAGGTATCTTGATATGCCGGAATGCTGAAAACAGCAACTCCAAGCGTCTACTTCAATATCATTTTTTCCTGATTATTTTACATTTTTCTGTCGCAGGAAATAATTTTTGCTGTTTTCAGCTGATTAAAGCAAGCTCAGACAGAAATATTTATTTCCTGGTGTTGATATCGATTTTTTTTGTGTTACAGACTGTCTGAAAATGTTGATTGATAGAGGATGAAAACAATTACACTCGTGTTATAATACTTCCGGTTTAAGTCGAGCAAATAACATGGGGGATGTCCCTCCGATGAGCAAAGGAAATAAATGTTTTTCGTCGCAGACCCAAAGGATTATGATTTATCAACCAGTAACTTTGAGGATTCTATGATCTCAAGAAACGTAATTCCTTAATTGTGAAGTTTTTCAATGCCTTGTTTCCCATAAGTGTGCTTGAATCAGAAATTTATTAGTGCAAATATGGGCGGCCGTCACCGCCAAAAATACAAGGATGTAAAATAGATCAGCAAATACAAAGCTGGTCTAAGGATCAGCTGCAGGATAGCATAGCTAAGAAAGGAATTGCATGGCCAAATTATAAACGGTTTAGTTTTCCTTCATGAAACAGAACACCCTAAACATGAACAATTTGGCCAAACGATAAACGGTCTAGTTGCCTATATCGAGTTGGAACATGAAATTGTAATGTGGAATAGCTCAATTGCGAATGGCTTAGCACCCATTTGCAATACAGTACACAAACGGTGTAGCGTTGCGTCAAATAGCTCAGCTTAATGTCGAATGGTACAGTGCACACACATACGGTGCAGCAATGCGTGAAAAGGCTTAGCGCAATGTCGAATAGCACAGCGCACAAAAAAACGGTGTAGCGTTGTGTGAAATGGCTCACGGTGATGTCGAGTAGCACAGCGTAAGCACAAATGGTGTAACGTTACGTGAAATGGCTCAGGGTAAAGTAGAACGGTACAACGTACATACAAACGGTGTCGTGTTGCGTGAAATGGCTCAGCGTAAGGTCGACTAGTACAGCGTACACAGAAATGGTGTAGCTTTTCGTCCAACATAGCTTTGCAGAACATTAGACGCTCTAGCTGAGCAATAAATTGCTTAGCGTTATATGAAATATTTCGACGTTGTGGCGAATCGTCGAGCTTGCATATGGCGTGATGTGAAGGCTATCTCGCCGAAACTGCCAAAATACAAACTGCAAATGGAACAGCGATCTGTTGAGGGGCATGACGTTATCGAATGTAAAGATTGGCACGAAACCATCACATTTTGTAGTCGCTGTGTTGAAGAGGCTTCACTTCGGCTTGCCGTAAAGCAGAGCCAACCCGTAACTTTTCGGTAAGTTCTTCCTCTCTTTAACCAGTTGATATTGCATTTATTCGTTGTCGTTCATGAAAGGGTTAATTGAAATAGCATTGAGACTGAATTCTACCACGGTTTACTTTTTAAAGAGAGTTTAACTTCAACGGCTCTTTCAACATTGCGGGAGTACGTGAGAAGTTGGATTTTGTGTGTGCCTTTGTGTGCAGAGTTGGACGCCATGGTAAGAAAACTGATATCCTTGATATGTTGAAACTTCGAAGAACAAACAAGCAAACATCATTCGCTTTGGCCACCAACCTAATAGACAACAAGAAATTAATGATACCGACCAGCGTGGCTTGGTTATCCTGCAGTGTGCCAAAGGATTTTCCGAGAGAGTCACAAAAGTTCTTAGAAGTTTCAACATCAAGGTCGCTCATAAGCCTATCTGCTCCATCTCGAACATACTTAAAAAGCCAAAAGACAAGATCGAGAAAGAGGCTTCCGGAGGAATCGGGTACAAGGTCAAATGTAAAGATTGTGATTATGTTTGCGTTGGTCAGAGATCACGCGCAACATTGGATGAAAACTCTTTGTCGGCCAAACATCATATACTTCACAGTCACCAAATAGATTTGGTGAGTGTTGAAATTGTTGACAGGTCATCGGCGTGGCGACAAAGACTACTTCTTGAAGCTTGGGATTCCATGCGAGATAGAAACAGTATAAACGAACACGTAACGCTACCAAACATACACAATAACATTAAGAATTTTTAGAGCCATTAAAAATACTCCAGAGACTATTGTTTCACTTGCAAAAAAAAATTCCTTCGAGATTTAGTTTTATCACACATCGTGGACATATACCAAGCAGGACGCCGTTATACATTTGCATTTTTATCGTTGCTGAAGAAGGCAACGCTAGTAGCCGAAACGTCCAGAACAATATATTAATATTTTTTAGCGAGTGTCAACGTTTTTGATTCTTTTTACCAAAATTTTGAATATGCCTGGCTACACACCGAATATTTTTAAGGGAAGACTGTTTATATTTATTACTTTAAAGAGGTTTACATTATCACATAAATTAAGCCAATTTACAAAATAGTCAAGAATCTTGCTCCACATTATTTAACGGAACTCTTGCCCAAACTATCGAGTGAACGTACGCATTTTCGTCTCAGATCAAGAGATAACTTCTCTCAACTTCGTTGAAGAACTTCTACGTTTCAAAAGTCTTTTTTTCCATCAGCAATCACTGGCTGGAATTCTCTGGACCTAGATGTCCGAAATTCTGTATCTCTTCCCAATTTTAAAGCAAAAACCCGGTGGATTCCCTTTCCGCATACCTACAATAGGTTATGTGTTTGTTCTTTGTCGAGGCGTGCATCTGTTGATCACACTCGCCTCAGACTTGGGTTTTCTTGTCTAAGAGAATATCTTTTCAAAATTAATAGTTGTGTGTCGCGTATTTACGAGTGCAGTTTTGACTCTGAATTAATGAAACTCTTTTTCTTGTACTGCCCAAGGTAGGCAAACGCTATTTTTGGAACGGAGAAAAAAACCTTTAAGTGTTTCCGGTCTAGAATTGTAATCGACGTTTGATCATGAAAATAAAAATAGAAATTAACCTTTACTATCACTGCACCCAGAAAAATATATTCAATATTGTTGTGCTTAATTTTTTTGCAAATTTCTCAAGATTCCAAATGTAACTTTTAAACATTTTTAACTTAAAACAAGTTATTCAACT